ATTGACTTGGCATTGACGATCAAATACGAGATTGAAGAGGTTACGAAGTATGAGGAGTTGTCACAACCCGATTGGAAGGAATGTTCTAGAAAAAGACTAGAGGATTGACTTGGCATTGACGATCAAATTCCTCTCTCCATTGAAGGTATCCATATAAACGTCCGTGAACCACTGAACCAAGCTCAAGCTGTACGACGATCATCATTGCTTCATCCATCTTCACCAGCCGGTGATCCTCTTTTCCACTCTATATTAATTTCATGGTCTATTTTTTGTTGCATAATTTTGATGCTGCCATTCATCGTTTTTCTTTGCTACTGATAAATACATATCACTGGAGTTGTGGTAAATTTATGAAGTTGGTAGGAATTTACAGAGGTTTTTATGAAGCAAAACTTAGTAGGCGTGGGAGCGAAGTYTAGCTAGTAAAATGTGTGATCAGCGGTGAAATTGTTTAGATCCAGTAAATTTCTGGAGTTGCTAGGGAATGRATTCACAGAGAAATATGCTTTTATTTAATGAGAGTGAGAAACAGCTTTTATTTAGTAAAATGTGTGTCGGATTCTTAGCTTTGGTAGATTTACGTCTCAAGATGTGTCATCACGTTCGTCGATGCCTTCTTTTAGATAAATGGTCATGGGTTCACCCACTGTTACCATTTGAGTGTGTGATAATTGTTAGTATTAAAGTTTTTAGCAAAAAATTATGTTCCTAGGAAACAAGCTGTTTAATTTTAAGTTCTTTGTCAGTTATTTACKTTTATCTTCGTAGAAGAAACGTTGGATAGCCATGGTCAGCTTGTGGTCMCCTTGACTACTAATCTCATGGCCTTGAAGTTAAAGGCAGACAACCTCTAGTGGCCCTGAGGGCACTCGAATTGGTGGGTGACTGCGAGGAACAAATCTAAGATCTTATCATTCCATAAAAGAAACATATTTTTTGTTTATGGCTTAAAAATGACCTATTTGGCAACATGAGTCAAGAAGTATGTCAAAATTTGGAATGGAGATTGTACAGTTCTCCCAGACCCTGGGATCTACTGGGCCAGTTTGGTTTGGTATGCTTTTACATGTCCATTAAATTGAATTTTGCTTATGAATGAGAAGTAGATGACTAGATGTGCACCCGGTTGTTGCATAAGTGAAAGTTCCGTGATCCCAAGCTTCCTTGAGTTGTTTAATACAAACAAGTTTATTGATGAAAGTGTTTTTGCTTAAATTGCTTAATATTTATCCTTTTTTCAAGTACGATATGGTTTCATTTAATTGTGGTTGCTGATTATATGTTGTATAACGACGTTGCAGTTAAAACAACTCCTTAGGACCTGGCTAGTCGTAAGCGTTTGTGGTACGGTCCATCTTATTTGAAGGCTTGGGAATTGGATACTGACATTGTTCAAAAGCCTAGGCATTTTGCCTTGGACATGGATGGTATAACCCTTCATTTTGGTTGCCAGGTTTCAAAGGAGACTTTGCAAGTGCTCTGTAAAATGCGAAATTCAGTAGTGAAATTTGGGTTTGGACTAAGGAGGTTATACTTTAATGTTTCATATCC